GGCTGCATCCCCCCCGCCGGCCCTCCGTCTCCTTCCATCCTTCCTTCTTCCCTTCATCCTGCCTCCATCCTCCCTTCATCCTTCCCTCCTTCCATCCCTCCTTCCATCTGTCCTTCCATCCTTCCTTCCGCAGGGCGAGCGGCCGCTCTGCGCGGCTCTCTGCCGGGCTCCGGGCAGGAGCGAGCTGGGGCACAAGGTAGATTGAGAAAGCTCTCTTCATCCGTTTTTGTTTTTTTCTCTCTTCGGCCCATTCATAACTCTGGTAGTGAGAAGCAGCTCTGCTCAGTAAGGGGAAAAAGAGGGGAAAAAAAAACCAACCGCAAACAAAAAGCCAGACCCGAGGAGTTTGGCTGCCCTGGGGACCAGATGCGCAGGGAGATGCAGGAGTCCTGGAACTGAAGGAGCCCCTGGGACTCAAGGAGTCCTGAGATCCCCCCAGAAGCTTCCCACGGCCGTGGTGGGTCCCTCTGCCCGCAGCGACCTGCGGGGAGGACCTGCCACCCACGGGGGACAGGATCCCACGGGGCCTGCGGATTTCCCCCTGCCAGGGGGAAAAAAACCAACAGAACAACCCACCAACAATCCACAACACTTATTTCCTTTTTTTTTTTTTTTTTGGCTGTTTTTTAGAACAGTAAAAGTCAGGGCCTAACCTGCGGCCGCTTGGAGTTCTCCCGTTTCCAAAGTCGCGTGTTAAATCCAAGTAAAACCGCGGCAAAAGATATGGAGGAGAGGGGGAGAAATCCTATCCTAGCTTCCTCCTGCCCGGTGCTGCGGGATCAGGACCCTGTGCGGGGGATGTTGGCTATGCTTTCCTCCCTTCCCGTTACGAGGGTTCAAGTAAAATCATCCTCCCCTTGTAGTAAAATTATCTTCCCCTTGGTCATGCTCTTTTTCTTTTTTTTCTTTTTTTTTTTGACTTGTGTCTGTCGCTAACTTCTTGAATGCACTGCTTTTCTTGCTCCTGTTGTAGATACAAGGAAAGGAAAAGGTAATTATTCTCGTTATCCTTTTATCCCAGACGGGAGCCGCCGAGACATGTAGCTCCTTAAGGAGCCTCGGGGTTAGATTTAGGATCGGGATTTGTCAGGTTGCTGCTTTCTTTTGCGGTCACTGCTGAACACCGACAGCCTCAGCACAACTTTTTTTTTCTTGAAGGCGACCAAACCTGAGCCTTTCCGATGGTTTTCAGGAGAGGAGAAACGAGGGGAAAGGGAATGAGTTGAGCTCGCAGAGCTTTGGGAAATCCTGCTGACCAGGAGAAGTTTTATTATGTCTAGTCTCCTTGTTTTACGCAGTCTGGAGAAAGAGAGGAACTAATCGCCAGGGTCACTTCCTAAATTCCCACACTTCGATTAATTATTACACTGTTCCCCACGCACTAGGCAATTGCTAATTCCTCGGGAATCTCTCCTGGAAGGCAGAAAAAGCCTCGCTCGGAAAGGGAGATAAGCGGAGACCGGAGCCCGGCGCGGCTGGTGCTGCTCCTGGCTGGGCACGGTGGCAGCTCCGTGGCACTGTCC